TGTTTGTTTGTTTGTTTGTTTGTTTGTTTGTTTGTTTGTTTGTTTGTTTGTTTGTTTGTTTGTTTGTTTGTTTGTTTGCGTTATCATTCTTAGCCATTATAACACAACATTTCAGCTCAGTGTTTCTTAAAACAAATGTTCTGGATTTGGTGGCCATCTTGAATTTTCATATCCAGAGTGCTTTTCTTTGTTTGTGTTTGCCCTCTAAAAAAAAAAACACCTTAGCTACACCTGTGCCACCTCTTGCAAAAAAGCCTATTGCCTATGGTTTGGTATACTGGAAAGCAGATTTATCTCCTGTCTGTGTCATTCACTTCACACTTTTGCTAGAATTCTAAAATAAAGGAGTTTCCTTAATCACTGCATGTCGTTTCTGGCATGAATGTGAACATGAACGGTTTATTTGTCTGCTTCTCTGTCTCAACAGAACACCTAGCAGGCAAAGAGCACAAGGACAGAAGGGCTCACACGTTCTCACAACTCAAAGTCTGTTATTCAGTCCCATATTGGAAAAAGGACATTGATACCACACTGACACAAACGTGTCCACAATCATAAGTTAGTGGCAACYAAGTCTCAGAATACGACCCAAACACCTCGCAGTGCCTTGCTGTCCTGCGTCTACGTTGGCGTTCAGGCGGCACCGAGGATTACATCAGAGCAGAGTCGGGTTGTGTCACTCGGGAAATCTGAAAACAGCCTGAAGCCATGTTTACATAGGAACAGCAGTAATTGTGACAGATAAGGAGATTACAGTTTAATTCGCTCTCTCACTTTATTATTCTTTAATAGTCTTTATTGCAGCTTTTCTAATTTGGTTTGACTTTATTCTTGAAAGAGGATTATTATTTTCCCCCTTTCTCTTTCAAACAGTATGTTTTTTCATCTCAAAACAATTGCTTGGGCAAGATTAGAATTTCTCAATTATTCAAGCAAATGGCACATGTAATGGCATGTGTGCAAAGAAATGAGTCCATCTAATTGCAGTTTTATGTAACAGCCAATCACAACCATTAAACTAGTTGATTCCCAACAAAACACTTAAAATAGTTTTACCTTAGACAGTTTTTTTTTTTTGTTGTTGTTGATGACAAGACATATTGACTTCAGTTGCACTAATTGCTGAGTTATTAAGTGTCCAATCAGTCCAGTCGGACAGGAAGGACAATAGACAATCCAGTTTTTGAGACAAGTCAGGGCTGACTTAAATGATGAGCAGAAATAAAACCATAAAGTTACTGGTTTCACATCTGCAACCATCACACCAGACAAAAACAACAATATTAAAGTTGTTTTGTAAAACACACATTCCAAACACCCACTGTCTCTGAATTACGTTTTACTGAGAGCTCACAACTGAACAAGAAGGGAGTTTAGTTGGACCAAATTTAATTAGTTGGACCAGTCATTGTGTGACATATTGTCAGCCTCCGCTGAACCAGCATTATTAGTTTGTTGTATCAAAAGGGTAACAGTGGAGCTTTTTGCCATTTTTTTCCCACCACGCACACCACAAACTGAATTTATTTCAAACGTTCTCGTCATTCTGGAGGTGGAAATATTTTGCTGCAGCCAGAAAAAAAGTCTTATTTTCCTCTGCTACAACTTYAGAACATTGTTAGTGATAAAGCATTTTCTATAAAATCATTTGAAGATTTTTGAAATCAGTAAAAATCACTTTTTTGGCCTTTTGTTATTAAAGCAACAGTTCAGCTTACTTTAAGTGGTGTTTGATTGGAAGGCTATAAACAATATATTACCTGTTGTAGACAGCTGTTTGAAACACCTAAGTGTGGAGCACRTGTCAAACCCAAGGTCTGCGGCCCAAATGTGGACCACTACTGCATTTTATGTGGTCCACGAGATCTTCAAAGATGTATTAAAGGGGCAATATTATGTGTCTTTCAGCCATACATTTAAATACTATACCATAATAAAGTATCTATGTCACCTTTAGCCGTTATTAAAATGGTGTTTTTATGTTTAAATAGAAAATAAACTTATCTTCTCATCACTTCTTCTTCCAAACGCCTTGGAATTGGCCTCTGTCTCTTTAAGAACCACCTTCCGCTTCCATTTTGCCCATTTCGGTGCTATGAAAATTGTGTTTTTATGTTTAAATAGAAAATAAACTTATCTTCTCATAATTTCCTCTTCTAAASGCCTTGAAATTGGCCTCTGTCTCTTTAAGAACCACCTTTCGCTTCCGTTTTGCCTATTTCGGTGCGGGGGGKGGGGTGGGGGGGKGCTGCCATGATGCAGTTTACTTGGCATCTGAAAATACATTTCCTCAAAGGTATTTTTAATCTGAAAAGAGCTTCACTGAGT